AATTAATTACCAATATTTAATTGAATAATTTGTTAATTTTTAAATTGATTCATGTTTTATTAGGTATAATAAATAATTTTGTAAAGTTTCAACTTGATCCGAAATTGGGTGTGGGAGAAATAAAAATGTATTCAAAATTTGTACCAGACAGACATACATACATACAGACCGAGTTAATATAAGTCTTTAAAAATACTTTTCCAATATTTGCAGAGATAGTAGTAGTTTGCTGATGTTGACTAATGGGAAGACATACCATAGCCCTAGAGAGATGGTGACAAAAAAAGCTATGGAAAGCATTGGTCTCAGTTCTGGAAGAAAAGCAAGCCAAACGAAAAATCGCTGGTTCCTCTACCATAATTATATGTGTTGTATTTGGAATGTCTCTCAAAAATAGGACTCTCTAGTTACATGAAATAGTGCTGTATAAGATGAACCATAGTCGTCCTATGAGTAAAAGGAGGCCAACAAAAGTAAGATATTGAATTAAAGCTAGAAGAATATAAACCCATCAAACATACTCTTTAATTGCCTGTCTATATTCTATAGTATTGAAAACGAAAAGATAACAAAGAGAGTGTGTGAAAGTAAAACTAATTTTTAGGTGGCACTTATGGGACTGACAGTGGGTCCGCTGTTCAGTAAGCAATATAATTTAAAAGGTTATATTTTGACATTTTCAGCATTAATATGCAAAGCTGTCAATAAAGACTATTCTATCTTCTCATTCTCCTGCAATACAAAATGCACATTTAAAGCATGATTGACAGGGCTCAATACAAGAAGCCCTGCAAGTACCTTCTGAATAACTTTTATTTTAGATCTAAACTATTCTAAACCTTGATCTAATCTAGATCTAAATCCTAGGTCTAGTTTTATTTATCTAAATTTTCTAAATCTATCTAGATCTACTGATCTGGAGATCTTAATCTAGACTGACTACTTTAAAAGTACTTTAACTTTAGTCTTTTCTTTAGGATACAACTCAGTACGCAAGTAGACTACAAATTTAATTTTATAGAATCTAGAATGTCTAGATCTAGATCTAATGATCTAATCTAGAACTCTAGGCTGTCTAGGGCCTAGAATTTCTAGACTGACTAGATTAGCAGTAGTAGCCTAGACACAGACAGTGAGACACAGAGAGTCAGAGTTACTGAGAGTTAAAAAATGCGAGTAGAAGTAGTGACCAGTCACTTCAGTCAGTGGTCACAGTCACAGTGCAGTGACTGAGTGAGTACCTGGATCATAAGCAAATGCATGTTGCTCCGATGCCATTCTTGACCCTGACTAGAGTAACTTAATCTCGAGTGTCACTATTTTCACTAAGTAGATCTAGTCCAGATATCAGGTCTATCTCTGTATCTGGGGAGCTATTGATAGATATTTGAATCTAGCTAGAGTACAGCTCCAAAAAAAACAATAGTGAACTGATCAGATGGTGACAATAAATCTCTGCCCAATGTGTAAAAAAGTAAGACAACTGCAGTTTTAAATGAGAGTTATCCTTCCAGCATTTTCTTGGTTTATTCATGGTTTATTCGCGTTTATTTGACAGATTAAAAGAAAAATTGTTGTTTTTTTTTAAATCAAGAGAATCTCAATGGCCTAGATCTATGGGTTGAACTAAAAAAAAAATTAAGTTCAATGTTTATTAACTAATAATCAAATATAGGGCCTACTAGAATCTATAGAACCATAGAACAAAAAATCTAACAGCATAGACATATTTTTTGGGAAGATTCTAACATTTTTCAAAGGGGAAAATCCACTAAATATAGGCAATATAGGCCTATAGATGTTCATGGGCGTAGCCTGGAAAAGAGTGGGTTTCGGAGTTCACTCACCCTAAAACACACCCTGCGGGATTTGTGGAATTTTGTGACTCTTCTTATTCTTAAATTTGTTTATTTTGTATTATTAGGAGATTTTAATGTAAAATCATAACTAGCCCCATAGCCGGGGAGGGGGGAGGGCATAAAATTCCTATTCAATTAAAAAAAAAAAAAAAAGAAAACTGCAGTCACCAAATTACATGAGCGTAACCGTGTGATTGTCAAAAGAGCTGAGGCATGTAAGCCTGCTTGAACAAACCGTTGTCTGGAAGAGCTCCAAGTCAATGCCTATGTAAAGCATTGCTATTTCCGACATGTCTAGCACTCCTGGCGCATGGACTAGAATGCATGGCCGAAGGCCGAGTACACCGGGAACCTCCTCCATTTCCCTATGTTGTACCAAGCTAACCGTGCAGGACTCGCCATTAGTGTAACGGTCCCTTGAGGAACGGCGCATGGATTATCGACAGGGACGTGGAAGCTCTCTTTCAACTTCGCACCGTGCAATGGAAAAGCTCTCGCATTCCCGTGGACACTGCCACAGGAGTTTTGTTTTGCTATTCATTTAGCCTAATTAGGCAACTTCCTCAAGTAATGGTTTCCACCCGGGTGCCTCGTTGAGGCAGAATAGCATACCCGGGTTCTGCTTAATCAACTCCTGCAGCAGAAAGGTGTAGTCATTGTGCCACTCTAAACTGGTGAGCAGCCTATATAACGTTGTGTAATCATTATGGTTAAAATTTAGTTCCATACTTTTCCCCCAGAATACAGAGGTCATAATACTATAACCATAATGGCATGTAAAAAAAATACTTCTATCTTCTACCATATTTTTTGTCTAACAGCGAGAAAGCGTGCAAAGAGTTAAATGTTTTATTTAAATGTTTTTTACACAAAGTTTCTGCTTTGGTGAGAGACTTTCATTCGATAAAATTGTTAGCGAAAATGTTGACTTCATGCGTTAGATAAAGCAGTTGGCCCTCATATTTGACAAGTAATATATATTTTATATTTAATTTCTCCTTTATGAAGCTGATGACTTTTTGTAGCAAAATCTTGATTACGCCCATAAATAAATTCTACTCAAAAGAGTACCGTACGAAAGATTCTAGTTTGGTGATATAGATCCACACTTTGAAACATTAAAAGACAGAAGTCTAGACCAGAATACTGGTTGCAGTTAGAACTATTGTAGGCATATTGAGAAATTGTGTATTAATATATTGTATAAGTATGATTGTGTATAAGTATGATATAGAAATGCATATTGTCAAAAATCAGTTATCGCAGTCCAGCAATGGAACTATACCAATGATTTTTGCATAAGACGATGCGCAAAAACTCTACTGAATACATGCGGGAATTCCCACTGAAATGTGTTCAAAATATACAAAATTTATTTTTAAGATGATTATATTTATATAATTTAACCATGGAACTATAATTTACATACGTCACTTACTCGACAATACTAAAATTAAAGAGATGGTTACTACTGGTCTGCTCTATGCGGACGATTGCGCCCATCTTGCAGACACCGAGCTGGAACTTCAGTTTGCCAAGTGTTTACTGAGGCTGCTGCCTCGTTTAGTCTAGCAAAGCCCCCCCCCCCCCCTTTTTTAGAGAAGTAAGACAACCGTCTCGCCAAGGCCAACAGCGCTTTAGGTCGCCTCCACTAGCGAGTATGGTGGAATATCAACAAATAATCAATGTTTTATAAAGCAGTGTATCTCATCATTCTTATTATGGCTCTGAGACCTGGGTGCAATACAGAAGGCATATAAGGTGCCTTCGCTCTAAAATAGGCATACGCTGGCAGGACTACGTAACAATTCTGAAGGAGTCCGGTCTGGACATTCAACAGCTGTGCTGGGTCTGGACATTTATCACGCATGGAAACTAAATGTCAGCTCTTACGAAGGCCACGAGACACACATTTGAGGCCCAAAGAAAAGTCCTTATATAAGACAGGTGCAGAAAAATGTAAAACTTAAATAGACCCCCGGCTTACAACGGTCTTAACTGCAGATAGAGAAAGCGATGGGAAGACAACATAAAAGAATGAACGGGCCTACCTTTGAAAGAGGTTCTAACTAAGGCAAGGGACAGAGAGGAATGGAGAAGGATAGTCGACAAATCTTGCATGGTGCCCCAACAGACTAAGGGATAGGTAGGAGGAGATGTCGAAAACTATGCAGGTCGCAGTTGGGTTTGTGTAGTTTTGTAAAACACTGCCATTATCTTTTTTTTTAATTGAAACACATTGCCATTATTATTTTGAAAAAAAAACAACAGATTTTTTAATGTGTGGCCAATTAGCTAGTCATTTTTGTCCAAAGATATACATAAACTGTCTAATTTTCAAGGAAAATTATTAGAACCGTATTCGACATCCGTGTACAATTTCCACCCAAGAAGAGTTTACATCTAACAAAAAGACTTTTTAAAAATGTGAATGTGGGAGAGTGATAGAGGATCCAGTTGTTTTGTTCTCTAGTGTCTCAGCACCAAGATTTCATTGAGGCCTGCATTGATCACCGAAAGCCTGTTCACTAGATATGCAGGCTTTTCACAAATGTGGGGTGGGCGACTTCTGGTGACACTCCTCTAAGTCCTTCCTGCTCTGATATTTCAATAGGAGTTCATCTCAGGTGACACTCCTCGTCACTGGTTCTGATGTGTATCACGTAGAACAAGCTTCTTTCTGCTGTAGGGGGAGGGGGGCAGAAAAATGAAGGTTCAGAATGACCAAGCAATGTGAAACTTCATGTTTCTTGTTGAGAACTAAAGTTGGGCACATCTCAAAACAATATTTTTTACTTGGCAACCTGTCCTCAGCTAATAACCATCATTTTGTAGAACTTAGTCCTAAGTAAGCTTACAATGCTTGTGCAGGCTCAACTGAAGAAACAAAAGTCCCCTCCAGTCAAGTCTGCTTAATGTGATTTCAAGTTATGCTCCTTCAGATTAAAGAAAGCATTTCAATTGTTAGATATGTTCTGCTCATTAAAAAGTCACAATTGTCTTAACAATTTATTGTTATTAATGAATACTTTTTTTGTTCACACTTAAAGTTTTCCTAACAAACAAAAGTCCAACGAATCACGTAATAAAATATTTTAATTTTTAGTGACAAAAATATTCAAAATGAAATAATGAAATTTTGTGTATATACAGTTTTCATTGTGCAACTAAAATTTGTTTATAGATTAAGAATCCAACACTAAAATTTAATTTGAAATAAAGCATAAACATACATGAAATTCTCAAATGGAACAGAATGAACATATTTAACAAACAAATAAAATCAATAACTTCTGAGCTATGGTTGAATTTAGGATTTCTTAAAGTGCCTCAATCTGTTCAATAGAATGTGTGTAGTACCATAGAACTGAATGATTATACAATGGCATTTTAAAAAAAAACTTCCCAAGAAAACTGAGTTCTAGACTTCATCATCACTGGGAATGTTTTCTTTGAAAGAACTGCACACCAAACAAACAAGTAGAACCAGTTCTGAGACTCAAAGATGTACACAAAAAAAAAGAACCAATGTTTACAACAAGCCATGTTCTAGTTTACAACATACATATAGGCACTATACTAACATCCCCTCTAACCCAGACCAACACACCAAAGCAAACTACAATTTAAACACATGTTCTGAACTTTGGACAAATGTATTGAACTTTGAAGTTATTCCAATGACACACAACTTTTTAACAATATCAACATTATATAGAACTGTAGCCAGAACAGAAATACTTAAAAAGTGAATTTTTGCAATCCAAACCATTGTAATTATAAGTATGTTCCTTAATGTAGTGTAATCTTTCAACACTTAATATAATCTTTAGAACAGACTGTAAGTTAATGCTTTGAAAGAAGGTCAACAAAAATCACAAGAATTTGTAATTTTCAAATTTTCAATGTAAATATGGAACACCAATGATTTAGATGATGTCAAACGAGTGAGACACCAATCTCTTGTTGCATACAGTTCCTGTAATTTATAATGGAGTAGTGGACACAAGAGTTTATTATTGATAAATAATAATCTGTCAACCTTTAAGAACTTTCAGTAAGTTATAAACGTGTGTGTACATTGAATTTCTTCATGCTCTTATTGTGTACAGATCTGACTAGAAAATAAATTTACTCAATCCTTCTAACAATACAAACACACACACATGAATGTGTTCATCATACTTTAATTACTGCTATTGAAAATCATAGAACTTTAAATCATAAAAACATATTTACAGCTTCATCAACATCCTTAGTGGTTGGGAGTTATCAAACATGGGCAGGGCACATCAGAGAGAATCATTTGTGTGAGGCTGAAAAGGTTCTTAAAATGTGCAAATAAAAAAACAAACAAGGTATAATTCCTTGGGATACAGTACTTGATTGAGTTCCCCAATAAACAGTTTTAAGTTTACAAAAAAAGTTATTGAATGTAAACAAAATCAGAACTTATTTCCAGTTCTGTTCCATAAAAAGAACTAAATTAATTGCTTTCATTTTCATTCAATATAAAGTAATTTGCTCAATTAACAATCATAACAAGTGAAGTATTGTAATTAATACATTTTTAGTACATTCAATACATGTTCACATTTGTTCGAAAAGTCCATTAGGAAACTGAAGCGCCAAAGGCATCCCCATTAATCCTTTGACAAGGATTTCTTCCAGCAGATGGGACATGTTCACATTGAACAATCACTTGTAATAAGTTGGCATTTCACAGTTTTGACAAAAATTATAAATTGTTGATAACAAAAAACATTTTTAAAACAAAAACAGCTATTTCTTTTCTACTCAGCTTCAAGATAATAAAGCAAAAAATTTTGATGGAGCTTAACCACCTCGACCTTTGAAAACCATCTGCCATGGTCAACATATGTGTTAGTGCAACTTTCTAGTCAAATGTGCATCTAAATAAGAAACACAATAAAAAAAAAATAACTAGGCACACAAAACAACCATCCACCACCGCCGGTCAAAGTCTATCACTATAGTAAGTAATGCTTGTTTCCTTTAGGCTGTACATCTTTGTTACACATATTTCAAAATGTGTGCAAGGAATCTACCATTTGTAATTAAACTTCATCTTGAGTAGATACTTGATGTTGACCTGAGCTGTGTCATAGACAATAAATCTGACAGTAAGTAAAGGAAAAACAAAGACATGACAGTGACAAGTGTGTTCTCAAGTGCATCTAAGGACCTTGATCGAAATGTTTTACTTTAGGGTTATAACATTGAGAAATCTGTATCCAATATTTCATAAATTAAAATGAAAAAAGGTTAGGACAGAAAATCAAGGCATTTAAATGACCTAAAATTTCTTCACAAAAACGATTAATTGTTTTAGACGTTTTTTGTTTTAGACGTTTTTGTAAATACCCACTAGCATATTTTGAAGACTAACTTCACACAGTCACATTAATCCGCTGCCTCTATGAGGTAAATGAAGGAGATCTCTAAGATATAAACATCTGGTAGGTGAAGTTCAGCCTAGCTGTTTACTCTAACAATTTGTACAAAATACAATCTAGTAAAAGGATACTCATTATATAACAAACTTGTTTTCTCAACACCTGAGGGTGTGCCAACCCCCATAGGTATAATTACGCCATCTGGTGTCACATAATTACCTTTTGGGTCTGGACATGTCTTGCCAAGTCCTTAATACAAGAAAAAAAAATACTTGCAAATTTCAATTTTCAGATAATTTCTCTAGCTCATAGAAAGTGGGTCTACATTCCAGGCCTCATTATGGCATTCTTATGGAAATAGACACTCACTGAGCTATAAGAAAGAAAGCAAAACTCACTTTTAACTATACAGTAGAATAATGTGAACAAGGGCCTTACTTTTTATTTTTAATGTAGACTTTCTGGACTTAGGATTTATAGAAAGAATTCTTGGTGTTGATGTAAAAAATGTCTTTTCAAACAGATACTCCATAGTCAAAAAGTGAGTTTTCTTTCAATGTGAAATACAGCTCTAACATTCATAACATTTCTTGAATGAAAGACTATGTATGAGATAACTGGGTAATGGAACAAGATGAAAGAAACAAACAAATATTCCAGCCTCATAAAATCATGGAAATTTGAAAGTTGGTCACTGTGCTGGCCACATACTTTTTTAAGAAAAATTTCAGGGGAACAATGCAAAGAGGTGGTCTACTATAAAGGTATCAGCAAAATTTCATTGGGATAAATTAATTGATGAAATCTTATGTTCAGTATTGATAAGGCTATAGTAAATAACTTACTCTACATTCAAATGTCTTATTAGAAACTTTAAAAGCATTAAAATGTTTCACCAAAATTATAATGGAGTGCAATTAGATATATTGAAACAAAACATAGCAAGTAACAGACACCTACAATTTTGATAAATGTGCACATTATAATAGATTTCCAAACTCACTTTTCTTACTCAGAAATACACAAGGCAAAAGAAACAAAAATCTTATAAAACAAGTGAAATAAAAAAATTATTTTCTTAACAGCAAAGCTTATATTAAGTCTTATCAATTACTTTGGATCAATCATGTAATTAAATTAAATTTGTAATAGATCTAGACTAACAATAATAAATCTGCAATTAGAAATATTTTTACCAATTGTTTTTGTTTAGAGAAATTTCATGCTTTTAGCTTTCTCATTACACTATACTTATCTGGACCAGTTGGAAAGGGGTGGGGGAGAAAGAACAGTGTACCTGGGGGGATCATATTTTAAATGTAATTGTAAAAGAAAAGTGAACGACCTGAATTTGAACTCATGGGCTAAAGCCTTCTCAGGCTTCTCAAGCCAATTCAGTAACCACTCTGCTAGTGAAGAGCTTATGAACATGGAAGATTGTAGTTATCTATTGTTTCAATTTCATATTTGTGTTCACAAACCCTTAGACGACGATCTATAAAGGGGACTAATTCAGCTAACACCACCACTTCAATCAAGTACAATTTCTTTCCATTGTTCAAGATACATAACAAAATAATTTATTACCAATAGTTAACTAACTGGTTGATTTCTTTTTATTGATTCTTGTGTTGTCAGGTAAAAGAAATGATCGTGCAAAATTTCAGCTGATCCGAGATTGGGTGTTGTAGAAATAACATGTACAAACTTTTTACCAGAAAGACAGACAGAATGAGTTGATATATAAGCTTTATAAAAATCTCTGATATTACATTCATTGCTAGTTTATGTTTGATTTCTCACTGGCATCTAATATTGAATAGGATGTTTCATCCTGACACATATGAAAATTTTTTTAACAGAACTTATAATAACATACAAAAGGAGTAATTATCAATTAATGTGTATAAGAGGGGGTGGGTTTCTAGGAAATATTTTCTAGAAGCATACATCACATTTACATCAACATTCCAACAATTCTAGTTTTCATGACATCAATGGAAACAAGTGTTGCAACAAGTACAAACAATAAACTTTACTGACATTTACCTTTGGTGCTGTGCTTTCCTTTAGGTAATTTGGTGACAAATTCAGAATGGGTCAGCTCATACCTAAGGAATTAAAAAATATTTCCTAAGCCCCTAACACATACTAATTATATCACTAATAATGTGGTAAGAATAATTCCTTTGTCTTAAGTGAAATTTGATTATGACCTGCTGCTTTGCCAGCCATTCTTTTATATTTTACAGCACTATCTACTGTCTTTGAGGTGCTTCTCACTAATAACATGAGGATGTTACTATAGATGACTGTGTTAAGATAATTATCTGATTGTGTGAACATTCTGTTATAGAATTTGCATTCACTCCCAGTACTGTTATTGCTGAAGCTTCATTCATTGAAATAAGGATTTTTCTTGATCCCTTAAAATATTAGCTAATGCTTGAGTGAGCAACTTTTCTGGTTGGGACTGCTAATTCCTTGCAGTACAGGTATCTATTGTATCCTGTCATTTGTTGATGGTTTTCTTTTCTTTTGAGGTTAGTTGAACAGTCTTTTTATGTTAAATTTGTAAATTGTCTAGTCTAACTATGTGCTTCTATAAGGTTTGAAATGTAAAACTTGCGTTGACATTTGGCTCAACTATGCCATCCATTATTAAACCTGTGCATAGGCTTCTAAATCTGCATTTTTTAAAATTGACTGGAATTTAAAGAAACAGCTGGAGATCTGTTACAAAGGCCACTGGATACACATACACTGGAGACCAAATGGAACATTATTGTTGAAGACAGGCATAGTAGAGTGTAAAAATAGAGTTTTGTCTTCATTGGCTGTGGCAAAATTTGTACATAGCTAAATGAAATCTTTGGACACAAAAGAATGTCTGTCCTTTCTGACCATATCTACAAATTTCAGATACCATATTATGTTTATTGATAATTTTAAAGATTAGTAGGATATTATGCATTGAATCAATTGTTTTTTAATTGCAATTCAAAATCCTTATATCTACTGAGGAAGATTATAGTTGCAAAATAATAGGAGTTTCAAGTCTCAGATTTCCATCTCTTACATGAGTTGTATCATTAAGGCTGCCATACAGACTTTTAATTCTTTAAGTGCTGCTTTACTATCAAAGAATAACTTGTTATCGTAATAATGTTAAACTTTTTATTTCTCTCTTTATTTTCCGTAGGTGTTCTTTGTTTTGGTAGTAAATTGAATGCATGACCATGACATTTCTTTTAAATGACAATATTTTAATTTTGTGTTAGTGGTTCCACTTTTTTAGTTCATATCACGGGACCCAAAATATTTAAATAGTACTATTTTTTAGTGCAATTTTTGGTTCATCTTTTAAAAATTATAAGGTTAATTCTTTCAGTATATTGATTTTAAATACAATTTTTTTTTTATATATTTTGTTTTTGTGTACTGAGTTTAAACTTATTAAAAGAAATAATTTTTTTAAAATTACACTTTTGTAGGTAATTCATTTTTTTTAAAAAATCAAATATGTTAGGTTACACAAAATAAAAAAGGTTAGTTCGCTACCCATCCAAATTTTTGCTCTTCCCGGAAAACTCAATTTTTTCTATCAAAATAATAAGCACTGAAAGAGTTTCAGATTTGTGAACTGTATCTGAAATGGTCCCACAATGCAGAAATAAACTACTACAGACAGAAGTGTAGTGCAACAATAACTAAAACAATACTCACATGTTTCCTAAAGCTACCTCACACAACAACAGTACCCCAATGTTGTTTGTCTTGGATGTACAACAGTAATTGGCACTTTTAGAAACCATATCTGCAAAGTAAACACCTTTGCCAAACATGTAACCAGTCTGAAAAACACAATAAGTCAATTGCAAGTCAAGCCAATACTCTTTAAAAAGCAGACAAATGAAAGCAAGTACAATCTTCTTTATTAATTAGGTCACTTACAACTGGAGCCTCAGGTGGTGCTATACGTAAACCTTGGGACAGTATACCCGCAAAATTGGTAGCTCGAGAACCATGCCACAGCAACATACGGTTATTTAGCTCCTTGAATGGTCTGAACATCTTGGATTCACCCTCTCTGACAACTTTAAGAACCTATGACATAAAAATATTTGTACAAAATAATATAGTCAAATGTTCTTGCTTCTTAAGAATTCTCTATTACCATTTATAACCAGATGGATTCAGAGTTCTTAACTTTGGCCAAGAATAAAGGTGCACTCTTGAGATCATCAGGTCATAGTTGTAAATAGAATAGGAAATTACAGACCATGATGAGCAAATAAAATAAAAGAACATCACTTTAGAAAGAAGAGGCAGTTTTGAAGGTAACATTTTTTTTTTAATTACTA